AAATACCCTCCTAGAGCTTGCACCCACCCCCTCCTGCACCCCAACACTCTGCCCCAGCCCAGAGCCCCCTCCTGCACCCAAATACCCTCCTAGAGCTTGCACCCACCCCCTCCTGCACCCCAACACTCTGCCCCAGCCCAGAGCCCCCTCCTGCACCCAAATACCCTCCTAGAGCTTGCACCCACCCCCTCCTGCACCCCAACCCCCTGCCTCAGGCTCAACCCAGAGCCCCCTCCCACACTGCAAACCCCTCAGCCCCAGCCCAGAGCCCGCACCCCCTCCCGAACCCCAGCCCCCTGCCCCAACCCAGTGAAAGTGAGGGTCGGAGAGAGCAAGTGACGGAGAGAGTGGGGCAAGGAGTGAGCAGGGCAGGGCTTTGGGGAAGGAGCGGGGCCTCGGGGAAGGGGCAGGGTAGATACGGGGTTACCCTTAAATTCCAAAAGTGATCTTAAGCGTCAAAAGTTTGGAGACCACTGGTGTAGACATGCCCTTAGAGGCCAGAGGCAGAGCCATAGTATTCATCTAATCCAGTAAGCAAACCCCTAAAAGCTGTGAGTCAGTACCAGGGGATCATACAAGATTTAACTGTCCCCACTCAGTGGCAGCGTTTTTTAAATTTCTGATAATATTCCCAGCATATCACTTGAATTATACATGGTGCTTGACCGTAGGTGGAGTACATTCAATAAAAGCCCAACGGCATTGCAAACAAAAGGCACAGAGGGAGGTAGAAGGGACCATAGGAGGATATGAGAGCAGAGATACAGGCAGGAGTTGGATTTAGTTGAACAAAGCAAGGCTGAACTGAATGTTGAAGGAGGTTCAAGAAAATTAGAGGGTGATGAGGGAAGATGGTGATTTTGAAGGGGTGGGGTGGAATAAAAGGTGTTGTGTCTGTAATAGAGGAACACTCAAAAGTGGTGCACAAGGATTTAAACACCCAGTTCTCATTGATTTCAGTGAGACTCACACAGCTAAAACCCCATGCAACTTTTAGGAAATGAGGAGTTACATAATGCATAAATGATCCATCCAGCTGATGACAGGTAACTGGAAAATCCAGCTGCTGTTGAGAGAATAGGCAAATAGCAGAAATTAAGTGATGGTCTTGGAGTTCTGTTTGTTTGTCTCAGATATCTGTTTTTCCCCTTTTTAAGGCAAGAAAGCGTGACTGTTTTTTTTCCAGCACTGAGTCTTTATTCACGCTGCTTGCTGTCCCGTGGTGACAGTGCAAATTGGATATAAATTATTCATCCTCTTGCAGAAACA